CGTACTAATACATTTCTAAAATTTGTCGGCTCCTATATATGAGCAGTTTAAGTGTTTCGTTAATTTTAAGGGAACAGAAAATCGAAAAGTTATGGAAAAATATTGTCATGTATTTTACTGTGCATGTATTTTATCTGGAGCAAAGTTGGCCCATCGGATCCTCATTGAAATGGTGAAAATAGAAGGGCTATTTGACTAGAAATTTCTATGCTTGTGCATTATGTGCACTAGGCTATAGAAATGCGTCTCGTTTTATAAAATTTATCATAAACTTAATCTCTTAATATTTAAAGAAATATACCTTTTTTTGATATGAAGACCAAGATAGTGTGGCCTTTGTTTATTCGCAGTCTTTATTAGCTGATTAATGTTGGTTTGACCTTGTGGAAGGTACTTAATCCTGCGACCTCTGCCATAGTATTCATGATTCCCAGCATCGGAACATTGACTTGCTACATTCCCAGGCGTTTCTCCAACATCGTTGTGCCATCCTCAGCACAGGCAATCCCTTTGACCAATTGTATGTTCAACCTTGGACATCCTCTTTCAAAGAAACCTGATGAACAAGATATTAGAAGAAGGAAAAGTCAGCGAGGATTTCGCGTGTTGCCTGCGCAAATACGCGGAAATACAAAAGAAAGCGCTTGGACAAACGAAATCTATTCAATAACGGGAAGAAACATTGCCAATGAGAGGATCAGGAGGGGCAAAGGGAAGTCAAAAAAGGTGATTGTAGTGACAAGAGACAAATTTGGAGTCAACCTTAAGTTACTGGTATGGGTCTATCTGCGAAATATGGGATAGGAAATTAAGGGCCAGAAACATGCAGATTATACACCATTAGAGATGCTCCAGATAGTTAAAATTTGCAAGACACAGACTCCTTATTATCATAAATTTCATAAGCATGTCTTGAAAAAAAACTGAAAGGAATCCTGCATTTATGGCTTTCTAAAGCACATTTATATCCAGTTTGTTTGTTTCTTTATTAACTAGGCATTCCTTTCAATTATATTCATTAGCGCAAGGAATTCTCCTAGGCTTTATTTGCCATGCTGTCATATGGCAAATTAGTTATCCATGTACCTAACCGATAACTTATGAACTAAAAGTACTTTTTGTTTTAGTCAACTCTCTAATTGGACCATTTAGTTATTTGCTAAATTTGGAGGATAAATATGATCCCATAGCTAAGCCTCGTGTTTGTTTGTACAGTCTAGTATTAAAAGTAAAATATATACGGCTCATCACCAGATTTATCAACTTCATTATTGACCCCTTACCTATATATGGGCTTCTCGAATATTCGGGTTTTGGTCCAAAGTTAATTCTAGAGCTTGTGTGGTTCCTGGATCAGAAATATAAATGATTTAGAGAAGGATACAGCTGTTCTGTCACAATTGCATCAGTTTCACGCTCCATCTGCAGCATCTTGGCACGAGTCAAGAAAACTTGCTAGCTTGAATATGGTTGTAAGGGTGATGCCCTGCTATGATGATGTTTATCCTACGACGGACGAAAGCTTAGCACATCTTCACCGGAATAGAAGAAAATTACCTCGGAAGCAGCGTCAATAAGAATGTTCTAGTAGAGCTAATTGACAGTTAGTCAAGCGAAACAGTAGATTCCTCGAAACCCAACTTCTCTTTTCTACTTATACCTATTTGATTTATGTAACAACTTGTTTTTACCAGCTTCTCTCTTATTCCCCTCTTTTCCACTACGTAATTGGATTATTTCTCCCTCATTCGTTTTAAAAATACTATTTGTCACAGAAAATTTGAGAATGATGAGTTCCATGTTCAATCGTTTATATTTTGTGCACATTATCCATCTACTTATTTTAACCCATATATTCTTTACTTCCGTTTGTAATCCTTATTTATTTTATCCACGAGTCTTATCATGAGTAGTGAAATATCTTATTTATTATATGGACCTTTATTTTTAGTTCTTGTGCCAGAATGCCATCTAACCTATTTGAAAGTAGGGAGTTAGTAACTAAAGGATATGAAAACATTTTTTTTAACTAAATCTATACATTTAGATCCGGCTGATGTCGAAATAGTTGCGTTCCTGCGGTAAATATTTCCTCATGTTGGAGTACCTTTCATTTAATTTGAAAAGTCGATTAGAAGGGATTCGTAAGTTGGTCCCACTAAAGGCTGGGGGGGGGCGTTGTCTTGGAGCCGTGGTTCTAGATTTGTGCGAATAGGTCTTTGTGACCACGATGAATCCTCGTTGAGCTTTCGTCCGTCATATGACTGGAATCCTCAGAGCAAGACACCATGCTTAATAATAATTTACCAAAACGCGAAGACAAGAAGAGTGGCCGGCTTTACACCCACTTACCTCTTATATTTCAATTTGGTACACTTAGACATCTTATGTTTTGGTTGGATGTCCTATGATTTGCCTCTATATTTGCTCATAAGTTAAGTTAAGTGGCTGCGGATGACATGTGAAGTGGCTAAAGATGAAGCGTGAAATGGGTGCAATCGAAACCGAACAGCTGCATCCTCGCCTAAAACACATGTCTTTGTACCTGCAATGTCACCGCATGTGATTGCGCCCCATTGCATACGTGTTCTATAAGGGCATTGCTCTTGAAATGAGTGTGATGTGATAGTCAAAACCAAATTTCAGTCTAATCAAGCCACCTCTTGCTTGGTAGCACTTCTCATTCTCTCTCTCTCCCGCTAAACCTATCCAACAGCCACAAGTAGTTTACGCTTCACCTTCTACACTCATTCCTTTTATTCAGGGTGTTGGCTGTTTGTTGATTTCTTTCGCGTGTTGTTCGTGTGCAATAGGACGCAATCACATACGGCAACATTGCAGGATCAAAGGCATACGTATTTTAGGAAACGATGCAGCTGTTCGATTTCAATTTCACGCTTCATCTGTAGCCACTTCACATGAAAGCCACTTATCTTAACCTATGAGCAAATATAGAGGCAAAGCATAGGACATCCAAACAAAACTTGAAATGCATAAGTGGACCAAATTGAAATATAAGGAAGTAGGTTTGAAGCCGACCGTCTTTCTTGCCTTCATGTTTTGATGAATTATCCTTAACCATTGTGTCATGTTCTGACGATTTCCGTCACATGACGGACGAAAGCTTGGCAAGGATTCATCGGGGTCGCAAGGTGGTGTGCCGAGGACCTATTTGCACAAATCTACAACCACAGCTCCTAGGCAACCCCCCTACAGCCTCCGGTAGAGCCAACTTACGAATCCCTTCCACTCGCCTCTCCAAAATCCATCTATTAAGGAATTCTCCTAAACCCAGTTTTTCTACAATATTTTCTGATGCCTTCAAAGCATTTACACCACATACAATATTTGGTTTTTCTCGGCATGCTCAGAAGCTGCTGAAATTTATTTGCCAAAGCAGCCATTATGATGTATTCTTGGGACCAATATAAATTATTTGGGAAAATGAGTATCGGTCGCTCATTGTCCTGATTTTTTGTGTGAAATTTATTTCTTGGTGAGCGCAAGATTTCCGGTTGCTCTGAGACCACTGACCTTTCTGGGCGAATTTACTTTAACGATATGCTTTTTTGATCAAAAGTGTTGGCTTTTCATGATTACGTTCTTATAGCCTTGCCTCTCTTTTGAATCACTCATCTCTCCTTTTTTCCTCGAATTGATTTCTATAGTGCTCTGCCAGAGCTTCCAGTCAGTGATGAGTCATCCAGCTCTACTACGAGTGGCTGCAGCTCCGGTGACTTCACATCCGGCTCTTCTGTATCTAACCCATCTACTGGACCTTCTGATCTCAGTCTTGTGGGCCGAACAAATCTGACTTCTATAAATGGTCTATTTGGTCCTGGAGAGAAAGTCACCTCAACTTCAGCTTTGGAAAGTTGTTGTCTACCTTCGTCCAGCCAAAGCTTCGGTGCTAATGGTGGCATTAGTAATAGTGATGGACCAATTGGTTGTTTAGCTGCTCCATCCACCACTCCGTCTGTAACTGTCGGCGATAACTTAAGTGGTCACGTGGCCTCCACCGGTGGCTATAACATAGGAGTAAACTCTAGTTCCCTTTCTGATGAGGACCGTGATCTTCTTGCTCGTCTTTGGTCACAGCTGGAACCGCAAACAGTTGTATCATTTACACCGCCTCCTAAACCGCCTTTACCCTGGTTTTTAGACAAAGCTTGTTCTGGTTCTGACTCTGAACAGGCTTCTCCATTGAGTCCGGATCAGCAGCACTTGTCAATCCATCCCTCTTCATCCTGTTGCCAAGATTTTTCTGACTCTGGTTTGTACCTCAACGATCCTGTCACTCCAACGATACTTAGACCACGAAGCGACTCTTCTCCACTTTACCACGGCCAGCAGCTCCGAACATCAAGCGGCCCCAGCTTAGAGCCTGATAGCGCTCGTTTGCTATCTATGCAAAACTGCAGTGCAGCCTGTTCACCGCTTCCTATCGGGAGGCCCCCAGATCAGGCATCTGAGGCGGCTGTTATTATAGTTCCATCCACTTCCACACTCCCCGCATCTCCTAATGAAATTCAACTGACTCTCTACTTAGAAGCGATGGCCAATGCCGTCCGGGGCTCTTGGCCTTCAGCTGCACAGTCTGTCCTGCTTTCTGATAAACAAAGGTCTTTGGCTACCCTAGAAACTAAACAGAGTGGTCACGACAATCTATTTGAGTCACAGGATACTGGGTAACAGTCGTATTTCACTAGATTTTTAACTTTATCATCACATTATGTTGTTTGATTTTGTCGAATTTTTCCATTCATTCTTGTACGTGGAAAACCATTTATTTTTCTTGGTAAAAGGCCAAATAGATTAGTTCGGTATACTCTGTCTTAAAAATATGATTCTTAGGTTTCAATACATCTCCCAAACTAACCAATTATCTATTTTGGCTCCAAAAGTAACTAGTGGTATTCATTTTGAGCTTACAACCATTTCGAGTAAAGGTGTTTGGTAAGGAGATTCGAAGCTGGATCCCACCAGAAGACGACGGCAGATTCCTCTTGACCAGCTGTCGATTAGCTTTACTGGAGAAGATAATGCTTAGCTCTTCTTGGAAAGGGGTCTAAACTTGGCTTTTCAAATTGGCAAAATCATTCTATGGAGATACTGATTGAATTGATTAACTTAATAGACATGCTGCCAGAAAAGACTAAGAATAATGTAGAAAGAGCAGTGATTTTTCATTTTTGCCAGGTCATTATTTTAAATAAATCTTATGACTTAAATAATATTTCTAGATATTTGCACCAAAATGATCTGTTTGTTTAGAAGGCAGATAAAGGTGGTGCAGTGGCCATTCGGGATAAGTTAAGTTATATAGAGAACGTGATGGTTCATTAAAATGGCTTAGTAACATTCAGACTTTTAGTAAATGATCCCACAGAGAGTTTTAAGGCCAGACTTATAGACTCGTTTAACGTTTGTGTAGGCAGGGTAGAAAATGAGAAGTGGAAAACTAATGTACTTCTTCAAAGGGATGCTTATAGTCTTCCAAGGATACACAATGAGGGAGTTATTTTAAGATTGATTTTTAGCTGTAAGGCAAGTGTGTAGGCTCAAGCTAATCATTCTTGAGAATAAATATCCTCTAGTTCGGGTTGAAAATATAATTAG